ACGGCCGCAAAGATCTGAGGTGAGAAGAAAACAGGAAACTCTCAAGCTTGCAGGAAAGGTAGCAGTCAACAACGCCTTTCTAGTAAGATCCAGACATTGATAAGAACATCTGTCGGTAATTAACGCGACCAAACTAGAGCCATGTTTTCCTTATTTTTACCATCCATCTCTGATGGGGTCAGGTCCTAAACTCAGATAATCGCCGGGGGCAGGCGGCCATGCGAATTTTGAGCAAGCGGGGGAGAAGTAGTTCGCTGATTTCTTGCGGTCCGCTTGCAGAAATTTGGAAGAATTTTGGCGAAATTGTGGACGAACGCTCGGAGAACTATCGCAGTCTTTCTATGGATAAGTTGCGGCGCAGTGGCCGCATTCTCGCGCACTTTCCGCGAGAATATGCAAAGTTTTGCCGCAGTCCTTTGTGAAGGACCGCACAGCCCGTAGGTACCTTCCGCTAAAAGAAGGTACCCCAAACTTGAGTAATAAACCATCGATGGCACCTCCGCCACATAGAGTCTCACCTCTACTTGGCGTACGCCCGAAATTGCTTAAACAGAATCCGAGCGCTTGCTGAAAGTTTGGCCAGCGCTCACTGAAAGAAGTTATTTGCTGAGCGCTTGCAGAAAATGCTGTATTGCTGCCCGCTGGCAGAATATGCGACCGTAAAGGAAGTGCCGCCCGCTGAAAGCTTTTATACGCCCCAAAATTCTGCTGACCCCCTGTAGAAAAGCGCGAGTTTGCGGACCTCCTGCCCCCGGCGATATGTGAGAAAGCAAGAGATTGCGCTAAGTTTTGCGCTGTCTACGAACTCGAATGTCCAGAATGTCATGCAAACTTACCGGTTAGTGAACATACAAGTAGAAAACAAGGAAGCATGACAAGTCCGCTCGGGCTACACAGAGCAAATTATGGCGGCAACGATTTTTGCGTTAAGTGCACGATCTAAGTATGGAAGTAGGATTGCTGCTCGCAAAACACTAAAAACGTCATTTATTCTTTCTCGCCACAGCCACAGATGAATGGCAAAAATGTACACTTTCTATTATGAGCGATCTTATGCCATTTATATCGTAACTAGCTGGTTTCTCGTCTAGCCCGGGTCATGGCTTCAGGTGGTCCTTGCTCCCCCACCCTCCCTCCCCTTCCCACCTAGCCATTATGCTGCGCTGCAAGGGGTTATCTGTACCAAAATAACTCACCCGCTGTAGGCTCAACTTGGATCACCGCATCTTTCCTACCGCGAAAATTGAATGATCTACTTCTACTGTTTGCATGAAATTATGGAAATCGCTTGTTAGCGATGTTGAAAACTCATTCTTATGCCGAAAATCAATAAATTAGTAGAATTTCCCAGCAGATTGCCGCAAAAAGTGGCGCTAACAACCTCCGGGGTCGAGTACATATGAGTGCAAAGTTTCAGCTCAATCGGTTCATTAGCGGGCGTTTCTATAACAAACGAACAACTAAACGAACACACTTACAAAGTTTGAGTATTATATATTAGGTTGTTGCATAAGTTCTGTCCGATTTGAATTTTTTGAGTTCAAAATGTCATATCTTCTTTCAAAGTCAACTTTTTTCCAAGATCTTAGTTTACTGTGTTGAGCAATTCCTTGGCTATCAGATACATATTAGAACCTGCGAAAATCCTTGTTAAGGAAGAAGCAAAAACTTAAAGACCTCACTACGTTTTCCTTCAAACTCGTCTTTTTTGACGTGGCAATGCTCCCTTATGAGAATTGGTAGGCATCTTATCTAACAATGGACAGATAGAGAAATTTTCGTAGATTATTTTGCAACATGAAATAGCCCATAGGGTCTGCGTTGCCGAGAGATTTTTTTGACCGAACAAAAAATTAGCCACTTTTTGACCTCGCTTCAGCGCATGTGTGCATGCCTATTTACGAGTTATGAAAATTTTACAATTGACGTGAGCGCCGGAAAGGAACTGGTGGATGGACTCTGCTAGCTCTTGCTTTGCCCTAGCACCTGCAACTTTGAAGTCGTCGATTACTTCTATTCGCAGAAAGTGATAGCTTGTAAAACATACAGAAAATTAATGTTCTACGACAAATTTCACTAGCAAGACGTTTTCTTCATGGAACCGAACTTGGGCATATATTAGCCTTCTGCACCCTTATTCCGCAGCCAAAGAAAGAACTTGACTTGAAGGGCGCATTGTGGGGATTTCCTCGCAAGAACATATTTCTAGGGTGAGAACGTACTTTGGCCACCTTGGAGATTTTAGGCCTGAGATCTCCTTACACTAAGAATTTTATTGAAATTTGATATGCTTTAGAAAGCGCAAGAAAAGCACTTTCTATTGATACTAACAATACCGCATTAGAGATGAAATTGTCTTAGAACAACTGCTTCAAACATGAGGCAAAAAAAATCGGACAGAACTTATGCAACAACCTAATATATAGTTGTGAGTTACGAGATCTACGACTAGTTGAGCTGTCCATTAACAGGACAGTACAGTCATTTGTTACCAGTAGGTGGATCATTAGTAAGCGCGTTGATGACTGGTAAGTTGCAGTAACATGAAGACTCTGTACCGTCGATTCGAAACAGTCGTACAAAGCAAGTGGAATGGAGCGTTGAGCAAAACCAAGCGAGACTATTTTAGACCCCAAAAGAAGGCATTGTTGCCGAAATGTCATGCTGAATAAAAAGGCCGAAATGTCATGCTGAATAAAAAGATTTCAAACCTGTGTGGCGAAACATCATAAAGATGCTCATAAGTTTTTTTTTTTCAATTTTGACTTTATACCGCACTAGATGGCAAACCCGGCTCCGCCCGGGACCAAACTTTGCACACATACACTTCGGGGCAGGGAGCGTGTCATAGTCCACTTTTCGTTATCGATCGATGTCGATTTTACCGATTTTTTGCAAAATTTGAGCTAGGGGGCTAGGATGTTGCACAGGGGGGTAATCGAGCATGCTGATCAACCCCTCCGGGGTGGGTGCTAGGATGTTGCACAGGGGGCTCGATTACCCCCCTGTGCAACATCCTAGCCCCCTAGCTCAAATTTTGCAAAAAATCGGTAAAATCGACATCGATCGATAACGAAAAGTAGCCTATGACACGCTCCTTGCCCCGAAGTATATGTGTGCCAAGTTTGGTCCAAATCGGTCCAGAAATAAAAATTTCTATTCCGCACATACGTACAGACAGACATACATACAGACAGACATTCAACTTTATATATAAGATTAAGTCATAAACTTCTTGTTTCTACTTGGAAGGCAGGGGACCTTTCCATAGAGCAGAGCAAGATCTCTAAGATGGCAAGTGAGCGTTTGCACCAGCTTCAGTAACCTTGAGTTAGAAGCCGAAACTAAAAAACTTTCGGATGCCTAAAAAATTATGAAAAAATGTTATTTTCTTCCGAAGAAAACGTACCCGAGGGCGTCGTTTTTTCGTCCGGACGGTCTCCAGCCCACCTTGACTTATCTTAACTCTTCCGCATGCTGCAAATCAAAAGCCGCTGCTGAGTGTGCAGCGCGCTGTGGAAAGCATTATGAGCGTGAAATCGCCCTACACCCCCGTGCCAAAATCCCACTCGCTCACGCATATCGCTTCACGCATATCTATATGCCGTTGCTATATTTCTTTCTGGGGTAGATATCAGAAAAACGGAAATGCTGTTTTCATTTAGGTAAATGTATAAGACAAGTTTTTACAAGTACAACAGCAGGTTTTCAGCTTTCTACAGTTCTACTTCCAATTCGATATCTTGAAGACTAGCGCTTATAAAAGCTAATTATGGTTTTTTCAGAGGCCTGTAGTATGCATTTATTGATGCGGAAAAATCACAGCATTGCTTCAAAGACCTCGATAACTTTAGCATTCTCGAATTTAATCATGAAAGAAGTACAGCAACGGCATATATCTTATGTGACCTCTATATGCGTGGAGCAAAAAAATCAGACTTTTTTTGACAAAGATGAAAATTCTTCAGTTTTTAGGGAGTCCGAAACCTTTCTACACCTCGATTTCTAACTCAAGATGTACTGCAACTAATGCAGACTCTCATAATATCTTTCAGAGCTTCCTTTGCTTTATCAAGCGGTACTCTGCATCTTAATATATTATTAAAAAGTAAGTTATGCGAGAAGTCAAAATTGAAAGGATTTTTGAAACGACCCAATAGTTATATGGCATAGTGTTGCCTGGGTAAATATCTATGCCTCCAAGCCCTATAAGCGGCGCTGTATTTTAAACGATCACTATGAAGCTTTGCACACATACATTTTCAACCTCAGCGAATGCTTCGGATACTTTCTTGCGATTAGCTTAGCGATCTTATTGATCAACCAATTTCAAGGCTTTGGAATGGAAATGAATTATTATCAACCGCTGGTTAACCACTTCCCCATTTTCGTAGTAGCTCTAGAGCATTCCATTCTGCGGTGCATGACGAAATGTGAAATGTAGTAGGTGAGCCCTTCCTAGTACAGGAAAGTTCGCGGCGCCATGAAGTTGAACAGAGGAAGAAGGGGAGGAGGGAGGATGAGGTAAGCGAAACAGTGAAGTGCTAGGAGAAATAGCTGACGTAAGGAGAAGAAGAGTAAAGAGAAAAAAAAAATAGCATTACGTTTCTGTTAATTTCAGGATTTGTATTCAATTCTCGGCGTAAAAGCAGTGTCCTATGTGTGGCCAAAGATGCTAGCTAATAAATCTGCTGATACTACATTCCAATATCAAAATTCCACCGTTTCTACCAGAATCTTTGAATGCAACCCTGTGCTTCGTTCTAATTACTCGGCTTTAAGTGGGTAATTTCTTTGCTATCACTCTTTCTCTCACTTATTCTCAATGCCGTCGAACAAACCAGTTCCTTGTACGAAAGTTTCCTACCCTTACAGGAAGCTCATTGAAACCACTTTACATTGGGTCTTCACGCATATGTTTTCGCAAGGTTCTTATGATAGCGAGTAGGCTAACACTTGTATAAATAGCTGGCAGAAACAGCCAGCATCAGCAGTTCAAAATGAATTCGATCTTTCTTGTGCTCGCCGCTGCTTTTGTTCTATGCCAAAGGTAAGAAATTTTGAACCGAGAGTAAGCCACGACTCCGGCGAAACTCTTAGCTCATGTGAATAACATACCACATGGTTGTATATTGTTTTGCAGAGCCGATGCCTTCCCGTTCGCATATCCAGGTTAGCTTGAAAATTTGTGTGCCGTAATCTATCTACAGATTAGCATTTTTCTTCCACTTATACTCAAGCAACAAACAAATTCCAATCACAAGCTTCACAACATCTTTCATACATTGAAAGCCTCCATAATAGGCAAAAACTGTATAGAGCTAGAAAGTTTCTGCGGTAAGAATTTGATAATTTTCGTTTTTATGGTGATAGCTTAATCATGTGTGTTCGATTAGGAGAACCAATCATGATACTACTTATGAGTTGTTGTAATATCATTTGTCATGTTGATTATAACATTCCAGTGTACTCATCATTTACGCCTGTTGTACATGCGGTAGCTCCGGTAGCTCCTGTGGTGCATGCTGCCCCTGTCTATCCAATGGTAACGATCCTCTTCTCTATCAACAGAAGATTGAAATAATTGTCGTTTTCCAGGGTAGTCCTCGTCGTGAGCTTCACAACATTGCAGGAGCCAGAAGAAGGGGTAAGTGCTGATTGTATTGTTTATGGTTGATCATTAGTGATAACTCTAGAGTCTGAACTTCTCACCGACGTCGCAATTCGTTTTCCAATGAAGAAAGCACACAAGAATCGTTAAACGAAATACGAGAAAAAACAACCGGTGCGTGTACACTGTCATGGCTCAATAAAACACAGCTGCACATAGTGTAGATTACAGCAGTCAATAGAACGTGATCTTACATGACACGAAGCAAAACATTGCAAGTATGTGGTAGTTCACAGAGAGCATTGTTGCAAACAATAATTAGACTGTAGGAAATCTGCCTTTGTATCAATGCAAAACTGCGAGCATTACCGGCAACAGATGTGTCTATACTATACTATACTATACCATACAAAGTCTTAAATGGAAAGAAATTGTTTCTGGATTTTTTCTTCAAAAACAATGTTTGCTCCGGCTTGCGATCTGGACTCTCCTGGACTTTACGTCGCGCTGAATCCCGCTATGGCGCTGCAAACTGGAGAGTGTTCTTCACCTTGTGCTTGTTGCCCTATGGGGTACACGTGAAGAGCTTTCCTTGACAGTTATTGTTATCAAAATTCCTTCTTTTCCGAAAACTAATTGAAAGGATGAAAAAGATGTTTGTGCTTAAGTTTCGAATATACAAGTATTATAGAAGCGTGAGAACAAGAAACGCCGGTCTTCACAAGGTATGCTAACCCCAGCACAAAAGTTTCCAGTTGCTCCTGTCCCTCGCTTTTGACAATGATCCTCTTGATCGTCGTTGATGGCTGCGTCCATGTGTTAAGCAGAATTCGCATCCACCTGATTTCTCAGTTGGGCCATCCGTTCAATGAACAGTCTGCCCATCTCGCAGGTGGTCTTCCTCCTCGGATGTTCTTGATTCTGCCGCCTTTTCTTCTTATGACTTGACCAGCCCATACATCAAGCTTTTGCGATGTACTCCGCTGGATCACAAATACGAGATTTTTTTATATCCATACTGCCAAGTCCGGGGAGGTGCTGCTTGTCGACTAATATTCAGAAGACTGCAGCGCCGTGTGGGTGGTGCGTGGATCTTACTACAATTTGGATTCAGCGTTTCGAGCGCTTTACGATGATATACGCCTTAACCGGATTGGCTGAGCTGATTCGGAAAATTTCCTTGTCAGCTGCATAACAGGGCGCCGAGAGAACGATTGAGTAGAACAGTGCGCACAAAGCTTAGAGCCCGTTATTGATCGATGGCTTCCTACAGAGCTCGTCTTCAGTGACCCTCAAAATGTGGTCCATGCATCTGGACCCTTGCAAAACTCAACTTTACGTGATGTTGGACTTCATACAGGTTTTTGGCTTGCATTCGAGAATAATTTCGATGAAGATCTCATACAGCACACTCAGCAGGCATATAGGACGGTAGTTCCGAAGATCTTCCGTTTGCCCTCCATGAAAAGAAAGTTCTCCACTGATCATGTACGTTTACCCCTTGAAGATAAAACGTTAGATGCAATGCGAGAAGGACAATGTCCTCCGGCTTGCACGTTCAACAGAAAGTGGGCTAGTCCTAAAGCCGTGGAATCTTTATGGTCTGGAGCAGTGCGCATAGCAGATAGAATCAGTGGTGGCATTTGTTCAGTGGAAACAAGTTGTTGACATAGGGTAGATGAGTAGAAGAAGTTCTTGTAAAGTTCTTCGCGACAGATTCCATCCTATACCGGAAAGAAGGGTTTAGTCTTCGTTCAGTGTGTAACCAGCGGTACGTGAATTCTCTCAGCACTTCTTAAAACTTCATCTTCCTTCTGCTGCTTCCAGTAATATCTGCTCCATGACGAAGGCGGTCGCCCAAGTAGGTTGAAAGCATACAAGGCTAACGCGCACGCGGCGCGCGGGCAATTGTCAACCACGGGTCGCGCGTACGCTCCCGTGAGCGACCGCTGACCGAGCGTGCGCGCGCCCTGTGGTTGACAATTGCCCGCGCGCTGCAGCCTCGCATGTTTTCAACCTATTTGGGCGACCGCCTTCGTCTTGGAGCAGATATTACCTTCGCCTGTTTATCGTTCCAAAGATCCTGCTGCAAGCTGTTCCAGCTGGCGTTCGCTGCAATCCACAACCTGGCTGCATTTGAATCCTACCTCGGGGACATCTCTTTCGAGTAATCAAAGCCTTGCTGGTCTTCGACGTGCGTCACAAGTTCTTTTGATGAGTTGTTGAGGCATTGAGGCACATCCTCCGCAGTCTCGCAATTATCACAGAAGCCGGTTCTATCCCTCTCAGTGGGCCATTCAAACTTGATAAGAGATTTTTCAGCCTGTTACCGTAATAAACGACCTCCTTCCTTCTTTTAGACTATGGGAAACTTCTTTTATTCGACAGCATAGAGACTTCGTTCGAGAGAGGCGGTGATCGAAGCCAAGGTAGAAGGATGGAACTACTGAGACATTGAGCAAGCTCATCTGCGGCAGGTTAACGTAGTTAACCTTCATTTGAGTCGTTCCTTTGAGCGAGGCTGATGGCTACCGTCGGGCTTTCTCCATAAAGATGGAGTTCCCATAAAAAGTCGTGCAGCGGAGAGAAGCCCAGCGAGACGATTGCTGTTTCCGTCCCGACGCTTGCATCCAAATGCAAGCGTGCAATCTCTATACTCATATTTTCGTGCCTGCCGAATTTCGCGAAGTCGCTCGCAACGAATTTGTAGGAAGACTCCTCGTTGTGAACAACCTTCACCACCTTCGTGAAAAGCATTCAGTTTTGTTCCATCAATTGCATGTTGGAGTTTTGCAATTGATAATGATGTTGGTCTTTTGATGTAGAAGGCGTGAACGTAGGATAGCCAGTCGGTAATAGGATCAAGATCAACGTACAGCAATAGCAAGTTAGCTGCGCAGAAATGCGTGACAGATTGCAATGATCCATTAGTCATGTGGTAACGACGACAACGATCATTTTGACTACAAATAGTTTTTGAATTTGATGTACATTGCAATGAAAAGAAACTCACGTTATCTTCGCATGTTCATCTTGTTCCATTGAGCACAAGCGTCACCTATAAAGAAAGGTCCTGTTTACATCGAGAAACAGCTATGCCGGATGCTGATGATAGCTATAATCGGAAAAACAACTTCGTCGTAAATTTGGTCATGATTGAATAAAAAACGAACGGTTAAGAATACTAATACACGAAATAACACTAAAAAAACTCCGATTAGTCGCTTACGACGAAGCAGTGTACTGCGCTGTGCGTGTAGTATCTCCAACGGTGCGCTGCAAAGTGGGCGGAGTGACCACCTCCGGTTACGTCCCTTCCGAAGCGGATTTCTCGCTTCGGAGGGAGTATTTTGTGGCGCTACTTGGGGATTTGCCTAGTGTGGGGGCCCACACTAGTATGCACCGAAATCTCATCAACCCTCAGTTTGGGTGGGCGGTGCCTTTAAGAACTAGCCTTCAAAATATGCTGTCTTGGGCTACACAAAATGACATTGACGTCAATCTTGCGAAAAGCGCCTGTCTGACCATTACTAATCGGACACATAATGCTATAAATCCAGAGGATTATGTTCACTCTGGCACCCCATTCACCAGACCAGTGACTGTACGTCATCTTGGTGTATTGATAGATCAACAACTCCTTTTACGACCCCATATAGAGCACTGCTCACGTATAGCCTCATGCAATATGTTTCTCCTTCTACGCAATATAAAGCATGCTAATCAAGATGTCTACATCAAGTTCTATACTGCGTATGTTCTTCCACATTTAGAGGCTAGCCAAGTTTGGAATTCCTTCCTCAAAAAAGATATTCTAACCCTGGAAAAGGTTCAAATGACTTTTACACGTATTCTATTTTATAGACTTTTCCCAAATTCTGATTATCCATATGCCCTTCCATCTTATAGATGCAGATTAGAACGCTTGAAACTTCGCAGCTTGTTATATCGCAGGGTAGTTGCTGATTTAGTCCTTGGCTTTCAAATGATTCGTCTTGAGACTAACTTACGACCCAGTGAGTTCTTGATATGGAAAGCCTCCTACGGTCGAACAGGTGCATTTAGTTTTTACTCTGACCTACTTCTTCTCCAAACAAACTGTTCTTCCACTCCTTCTTTCCACGCACTGCACGTTGGCTGCAGAAACTACCTGACTCGGTACTCTCTGCACCTAGCGCTGTTGTGTTCAAAAAGAGACTTATCAAGCACAATGTATTATCGTTAATAGGGACTGATGAAGACGAATATTTCTGAAGGCAATCCTCTTCTCTTCTTTCCTGGCTCCCGTTCTTTTTAAGTAAAATATGGAATAACCAGTGCGCCACCTCTGCTTCGCAGAGGCTCGCACTGGCCCTACTTTATCTATGCCTTACTCCTCATAATAATTACATTGAAACTCACCGCGCTGTGTAGGCTATTACGAATGATTCGTAAACAACTACTCTAGAAATTTTTCGTGTGAGATCGGTATTTTCGCGTGGATGAAATCTTTCCCAGAAGAATAAATGCAAATTTAAACTGGTTTTCGGACTTTTATGACCTGATAGTCGCCTCAATGGTGATAATCACCGTAGGCCACATCTCTGTGCAAGAATCTTCACAAATGATCACGTAGAATCTTGGCAAATTGAACATTTACACACCCAATACTTTCTGACGCCATTTTTGTAAAGCAAAATTTTGTTTACTTTCTTGAGCTATGGTCCTCTGCTTGCACATTGACTAGTCAAGCATATCCATAACATTGCAAAAAGTGGTGCTACAGGCCCAATTTTGCTGATCAGAAACCAAGTGAATCCATTTGACGCGCACTTTTTAAGGGATCCACTCGATGGATTTGCTCGCGCTTTTGTGTGTTGGACTTCCATGCTGCTCGCACGCGCCGTGCAAAATTTGGGCACAGGAGGTTGGCTGGAACATGTTCTACGAATTTCGTAACGGACAGACACACAGACACACACACACACAAAAAGACGTAAACAACCCTTAGCCCGTTGTTATAAGTCATGATGCTTTGTCTGCTTGATCATCTTTTAAGAGACAAAACCCACTGACTATCTAAAAAGAGAAGATACTTACTTTAATTCTTCCCTCCCTGTTTTACTTCTTTCAGATTTTTGGCGAGCTGAATCTACCCACCATTCTATCTTCAAAGAAATCATACAACAATAGCTGACTTTTTAGGTACATTTTTGTACACCTTCTCAAAAAGACTACTGTTCTAATCATCAATTAAACAGCCTCACATTTTCCGACTGCTGATTTCGTCACTGCAGTCCATCGAGCAAGTTCTGAAGCAGATAAACACTGCTACCGGTGATACACTCGGTGGGTCCATTTCTACGCCTAGCCTCTCGAACTTCATCCTAGATGAATCGAGTACGCAAATGGGAGAAGAGCTTGGCAGCAAGTAGAGTGGTATCAAAGTGAATGACACCTTTCCAGGCCTCTGAAGACGGTGTGTAACCGAAACGTCAGGCAATAAAGTGTATCATTGTTAAAACCTGTACGGCAAAGAAGATTAACTGAAGTTATACTGTTCTAATCTTTCTGCTCAAAGCTCTGTTTTTTTATCAATTCTATGCTAGTTTCTTAATTGGGAAACTAAGTTTGAATGCAGTGTGAAATTTTTTTGGTGTTTATCTAGCTTTCTGTTTCGCATTGTTGCAAATCTCCTGCCGGATCAAAATCATTAGTTGAGTATCTACGTGAATTCACCAGATCTTATACTTACTCGTTTTATTATTATTCCGCATCTTTACATTATTGAAAGCTTTTATCTTGCATGTTACATTTATATGCTCAAACACGGAGGAAGTGGAGGCAGTCGGTAGTGTAATGAACGCCTAGGTACGAGTGGATTTGCCATATCGCCTAGGTACTACCACTAAAGCGTGCCACTCGAAAGTGATCTGTTACTCGCACTATGGTATCCCATCATGCTCCGTTATTTTGGGCATTCCTACTACCTACTCTTCATGCGTGCGATCGAAGCTTTCAATAATGTTTGAGAGAATCTTTTTGCGCAGATAACTTCGCATACTGACATATCACCTTTTCGAATTGATTTACTATAACCAAAACTTTTTAACTTTGTAATTCTTAAGCAGAAGATTTAGCGATGTGAAAATGAAAGCAAACCATCTGTACATATTTTTTCGTATGTATTATGTATTATGCATCATTTCTATTTTAGCGACCTATCTAGCACATTACACTATAGTAATGTATTGAATAAATATATAAATAAATAAATATAGTTACTTAATATCGGTAGTTCTATGAAGCTGACGTTAACGAATGTTTCCTGAACAAAGTAATTCACGAACAGATTCTTCCTGAATCTGTATTGAAACAGGAAATTTCAAGATGTTTTTAGGAGAAGTTCGCACATAAAGGATATTTTAGACCAAAGTTCAGACTTCATTCTTTATACATCACTTTCCAGACCAATATCAAATAGCATTATTTGTAAAAGAATGCTACTATGATTTTCAGATAATGCAAGAATTAGTGAAAACACATGAGATAAAACAAGCCACATTCGCAAGCGTGTATTCCTTAAAGAAGAAAAACGCACCATCAAAAAGCTGAATGGTCATCAACATAAGTAATTCATCACATTACACCCTCTGTGCGCAATTGGGCATCAAAAATAAAACAAGGAGACGCTGATTTTTGTCAAAAAAATCTAGACAAAAGATGCTAACAAAGAGTTTCGACTCCTACATTCCGTCAGAGGTGGAAACGTGGCAACATAAGTGACCGTTTCAGAGCGAAAAAGTTCGAGAAACATGGCAACATAAGTGACCGTTTCAGAGCGAAAAAGTTCGAGAAACAATGTTTCGGAGAACTTAACAAGTTTATCTATGTTACCGAATGTCTGCAGTGCTCCGCCTCCACCGCAATCTGCAAATTACTACTAGAAACTACGGTATTTCAAAGTTATTCCGCGACGTTCATAAGAATTTTCCGGACTCAATCATCTCAACAGCCTCCGCAAACGACTCAACACAGTTCCTTCGCTCTTCAGGAATCACCAACTCATCACCTGTAAACGTGCTAGGGTTACGTCAAGCTTGGGCAGAATTCACGTAACATGGCCTGTGATTCTCCAGCACTTACGGTCCATTCCGTGCAGATAATCTTGCCTTTTGGTTGTGATAGTTAGCAGTGATTAGTCGTGTCCTAAAACTATATCAAGCGAAATGCAAGATGATCGACATGCAATGGAGTCGTTAGTGTTGCCTTTTTAGAAGACTGCGTGAACTCTACCCGACTGAAACGCAGGTCGTTGCTACTGCTGCCCCAAAAACTTCAAAAAGTACTATTCTACCTAGACCAGAAAATATTGATTTAGCATGTTTGAAATTTTCTATTGCGAACGATTACATCATGGCATACCTTTTCTATATTTTCCTGTTCGTACCAGAATTCCTTTCATTCCAGCTTTTATAGCTCCAAGGACATCATCCTTCGCGTCGTCCCCAATCATTACAGTGTTATTAATGTCAATATCATGACCTAGCGAAGTAGCACCCATATGGAAGAAAGCCGCCTCTGGCTTACCAACAACGGTAGCCTGAAACTGGAAAATTTTTGAAAATAGCGCCCTGGCAGGAACAAAAATTCGAAGCTTTAACATCGTAAGTTCTTCAACTCCCACCCCCCCCCCCCCCTACCCGCGTTCTTAAAGGCAGTGACCGGGCAAAAACTCGATTTTGAGATTTTGTGCTTATCCGGGCCTACTCGCTATGCTGAATCCGAAAATCCACATTGGAAAGCGCGAAAACCACAAAAAAGGGCTTTAACACTGGAGGAAAATCAGCAAGTGGGCGGGGTCTTCCCCACTGTGAATTCTCGCTTCCGGCTTCGGGGGCGATCTTTTTGATTCCGGTTTCAAGTCATTCGTCTGCACTTGATCGGTAGTGATGTCAGAACGGCAAACGGATTCGAGAAAATTGCTCTGGAAGCTGGAAGCGTGAATTCACTGTGGGGAAGACCCCGCCCACTTGCTGATTTCCCTCCAGTGTTAGAGCCCTTTTTCGTCGTTTTCGCGCTTTCCAATGTGGATTTTCGGATTCAGCATAGCGAATAGGCCCGGGAAAGCACAAAATCTCAAAATCGAGTTCTTGCCCGGACACTGCCTTTAAAGGCAGTGCCCGGGCAGAAACTCGACTTCTAAAAAATCAACTTATCTGGGGTTATCCGCAACGCTGAATCCGAAAATCCACATCAGAAGGCGCGAAAACGGCGAGAACATGCATTTTCCAAGTCCTCACATTTTGAAATTTGGGGATCCCCGCCAGGCTAAGACGCAGAGGTTGCAAAGAGCGCACGGTTTTCAACTGTGGCGGCATACGTACTCTGCCGTCTGGCAGGAAATCAAACAACTCGGAGGACCCCGCCCCAAGGCGTAAGTTTCCCCAATTTGCAATCGTTTTTCTTGCTTTAGGTCGAACGTTTTATGCTCGCAGTTGCGCGATGTTGTGTCTTAGGGGGGCTACTTTCACATGGCAGAGAAATCTCAGAACCCCCATTTTGCCCGGACACTGCCTTTAAAGGCAGTGGCTCGGCAAATCTCAACCTAGTCAAATTTGCGCTTACCTGGGGTTTTTCAATATGCTGATCCCGAAAATCCACTTTTGAAAGCTAGAAAACAGCGAAAATGAGCGTTTTATAATGCCCTTCCCTTTGATATTGGACGAGTGGAGCAAGGCCGATGACGCTAAATCGCGGCAGGACCCAGTGGGTCGCGCAATGGTGCGCGACAGGCAGTCTGTCCCTGTAGACGATGTCGCGCAATGGTGCACGACACCCTAAATTCCAGTTCGAATGTGCCCAATGGTTCCAGTTTGTGTTTACATAATCAGTCTAGGCTCGGAAGTTTTTCATGTTGGCCCCGCCCCTTTTTGGCAAACTCCGCCCACTCCGTTGCCCTGTACAAAAAACTTTTTTCGTTCTCAAATCGCATAGAAAAGCTCGTAGATGACCGGGGAACCTCAAATAATCTTGATTTTGACCCCGCCCCCCACTATGCGGGCCCCGCCCCCTGAATGGCAAGCTCCGCCCACTTTTCAAAAATGTCGGAATTTGCACGAATTCATTGATTTTGAGCAATTTCCAGCAATTTTGAAAAGTGGGCGGGGCTTGCCAAAAGTGGGCGGAGCTTCCCCGCCCACTTGCATTTTTGTACCTTACGCGTAGATGCATACACACATATATGCAGCCGGCTGCGAAAATGCCTGGAAACGGTTCGTCCACAGGGACACACGTCAAAAAAAAACAGCTCGTCGTCAACGTGTTAACATTGGGGAGGGGACCGCAGCTGAAGGAAAAGCTTTATATCCTAAAGCTCCAAATATCTGAATTTCACGTTGTTTACTTATCCGTAAGTATTCTTATTATCCTTCACCATGAACATATTGAACAGGAGCAAGAAGCTGTACAAACCGCTTTTTTCAGCTTTTTGTATGATCCCCTAATGATCTCCGCGGGACGATCTTTCATTCTTTAGTCATTTCTCTTTCTTCAAAGTTGACGAAAACATTCCAAAGTTGCAATGATTATCAAACACAACGTTGCTAAGCATATTGTTTATGAGAACAAATGAGTTTCTGGAATATCGAAGTTTCCGATAAACCACAACTACCTGTGGTTCATCGAAAATTTCATGACTCCAAAACATCATTTGTTCTTATCAGCAACATGCTTAGCACTGTTGGACTAGATAAACAATACAACTTTGGAATGTTTTCATTATCTTTGAAGAAAGAAAAATGACTTCAAAGAGAGTAGACGGTCGTCGCTCGGGGATCACCGGGGGATCATATGAAAAGTGGAAAATGCAGCTTGTATAGCATTTCGCTTCTCAACATGTTCGTGGTGGAGGATGGTGGGTACTTACGGATAGGTAGACATCATGAAATCCAGATATCTGAAGCTTCACTATATGAAGCTTTCTTTCAAGCTGCGATCCCCTCCCCAGCGGGGATGCTAGTGCATGCAGCCCTAAATAACATGCATGACCAGGATCAAGCTTGGGGTGTGGCACGCCACACCTGAAGGGTCGTAAAGGGGTGGGGGGGGGGGGGAAGTCGTTATCGAGGTAATGTTGGCAACTTGATGTCAGCTAACAATGTCTGATAGGTCCATTGTGCAAGATACTAGCACTGGTGTTTTGGCCTGTCGTACACGTACAGTAAGCACAACAAAAGAATTCTAAAAGCATAAGAGCATCATTTTCGTGATTAGCATATCGAATAACTCCTGTGAGCCAAGTTTCAGCGAATTTTGAGTTTCCAAATATCGGTACACTCAAGTGAGGTGGTCATTTTCAAACATGTCAACTTGGTTTCAGGTAAGTAAACTACTTTTTTCTGCACTCAATACAAAGTACTACTACCACTTTGCTTATACAGGCGATGTCAAAAACCTATTCTTGTGCAGTCCTCGATTTGCATGCACGCGCCGCAAATCCCGTGCGCCACGTGCGCGAGCGGACGGCAGGGCATTTTGCCAACTCCCACAGACGTCATCGATCGAGGGTTGGCAAGGGCCCAAGCCGTACGCACGCGAACGGAGCGCATCAGCCTTGCGAGCCTACGCGTGAGAGCTACGGACTTGTGAGCTCCTCATTAACATGCACTGTATTAGGAATTCCACTTCAGCTAAGGCTGCGTTTATACTGAAGCGCGAGTTCGGAAACAGTTTTGGCACAGCGTTCAGTTCAAGCGCTGTGCTAAAACTGTTTCCGAACTCGCGCTTCAGTATGAACGCAGCCTTAGCAGAAGTGGAATTCCTAATATGAGCAAAGAAGCAGTAGTATTCGGGATCAGTATGAACACAGCCTAAAATCCGCACTCCCGAATTGAGAACAAGACAAAGTCTCGTTTGTCCCATTTTTCGCTCTCAATATCTCAAACTAGAGAAGACCAATCAGGCTCAAATGACTTTTTATGAAAGTTACTAGGATAGGCGATCGAATATACTTGTTCTTGCCGCCTTCCCTCGCAATTCACGTAGTAGCATAAATTTAGCGTCTTGCCGTAATCCAATATTTTCGCAGTGTTTTCCATTTGTATAGCTAAGGAAAAAACGACTATATCTTTCCCTAGGAGAAACAATTTTGGGTGAAATTCCTGCTATGCGGAGAAGAAGGTTTAGCAGTAGCAACCATATAAAAAAGACAGATTTGAATGTTTTGAAGGTAAGTTAATGGGTGTGGCACAGCCCCTAAAAAGCTGTGGCGGCCACAGCTTTTCAAGGGGTTGCGCCACACCCCATTAACTTACCTCCAATATGAATTGTAGCGAACATAAGAAATATATTTTGATAGCCTGAGCCTTTTAGTTTTCATGGGAACAATTTGGGCCTAATTCATCATCTAGGCTCTTAGTAAAAGCTGGTAAAAGCGCAGCTATTCAAAGCGAGAAATAAACGAGATTTTGGCATGCTTCTAATCCCTTACAAGGGAAGTCACTTAACTTAGGTCGGGCTTTTGAAATGAGACACATATATTTAGAATCACCTCGTAACGCTGATTCCAAATAAGCTATCCTTAGCTGCGAAGCGTTTCTCTGAAGCGAGTTATGAGCTTTTTTAGTATGTGTCATCGACATACAACTGAATATGGAAAGAAGGTCTTTGGACGAAAATCTGCCCAAAAAGTGATGGAAAATCAAAATAACATCAAATTGAGTCATTTGGCTTTGATAGGGTATAACATGCATTTGAACCACTACCTAGATGATGATACCGTAGCATGCCTAAGTCGGTGAACACGCAAAATTTGCTCAGGAAAAAGCTCATAACCCGCTTCAGAGGAAAGCTTCGCAGCTAAGGAAAGCAGATTTGAAATCAGCGTTTCAAGCTGATTCCAACCATATGTGTCTCATTTCAAACGCCCGACCTAAGTTAAGTGACTTCCCTTGTTAGTATTTAAGGCAGGATTCATGTTACGGGTGAATAGGGAGTAGCGCTTTGTATTGAGTACAGAAAGAGTTCGCTATTTCACTATTGAAATATAGTTGATCAAGTTTGAAATTGATCACTTCACTTGGGTGGCCCACTATTCGAAACCCTCAGAATTTGCTAAAACTTGGCCCATGGGTTTTTTGACGATAATTACGAATATGTGCCTGATTATGAATGGTAGAGCCTTTAAAGGCAAACGATAATGCTAGCGAGGAGGGGGGGGGGGGAGCAGTGGCGTACGAGGAGGGGGGGGGGGAGCAGTGGCGTACCGAGGAGGGGGGAGGGATTTTGGAAGTTACTTAAATGTGTTATAAAAATGTGCAGAGGACTTGTTTATACTTGTAAATAATTAAGATAATTTTTAAAAATTTTTGAAAATTCAAATTAGCTTTGTAAAAAAATTTTCGGGGGCGTGGCGACAGCCACGCCCCCTTTTCTGAAATTTTGGGGTCAGGGGCCCGGAAAAATTTTGGAAAACACCCCAAAAAAATTTTCGGAGTGCGTGGTTGACGCCATGCACCTTCATTAAAAAAAATTTTTTGTCGCGCCCCCTCCCCCGAGCCAAAATCCTGGGTACGCCACTGGGGGGGGGGGGAGGTATTGAGACAGAAGATGAGGGGGGAGGGGTCGTATGCAGCGCTGATGTGCCACACCTCTTGCTCAACTCTGTGCATGACTTCTGCGTCAAGATTTGCGTAAATCTCCCGTAAGTCCCTTTCGCTCATGCGGGTGCGTAGCAAGTGGTACCCGGGCAGCCGACTGCTGACGCAGCCAGCCGCCAGGGCTGGCGTCAGCGCAGCCGCATATGGTAGGATAATTACGCTAGCCGTCTGAAACTCTCCGCCGAGAGGTTTCTTCGCACCTCGTCGCGCTGAGGTGCGATATCAGCCTCAGGGTCAGTGCGATAATATCGATCTTATACATCAATATCTATATCATCAGTAAACTAGGAATTTTTGCTGATTAAGATGATATAGATATTGATAACATTATTGATAATATCGCGCTATCCCTGAGGCTGATATCGCACCTCAGCGCGACGAGGTGCGAAGAAACCTCTCGGCGGAGAGGTATCAGACGGCTAGCGTAATTATTCTACCGTATGCGGCTGCGCTGACGCCAGCTCCGGCGGCTGGCTGCGATAGCAGTCGGCTGCCCGGGTACCACTTGCACGCCTCCCCGCTCATGCTCAGGAAAGTTCCCAGTTTCTCTCCCAGTGCCATGGTTCCGCGTCGCCAACTCTGATGGACGCTATATGCATGCATATATAATCTGAAGAGCTTTAGGGACGGAACTTCGAAATCAGCACACACATAACTCCAAAAGGAAGAAATTCAATGATCTATTAGGTCATTCGGAAAGTTTTTTCGCTTCTTGCGACTTTGATGTTGGTGCCATATTTTGAGAGAGTGCCAGAGGGTTGATAGGGGTTGCTTTATATGGATCTGTAGAGGAAGTTATCTAGTTTCTGAGAACACCAGCGAGGCTGCAGAAAGCGCTTTAAAGATAAGTTTACGCGGCTCTAAACTCAACATATGAAAACGCGATTTTTGGGTAATTGCATTCTCTAAGCTTAAACTTGAGTGTGAGACAGTTGAGGAGACCATCATTATGCGCGATGCATTTGCCAAGGCCACGTCTTTCCTGAGGTAGGTTCAAGTTTACTTCAGAAGCTTCAAATCTAGAGAAGTGAAGGCTAATGTTTTGCAGTGATCTAGAAGATGTTCCTGCCCCCACATGAACGAGCATCTCAGAGGGTCCTCTAGAACAAATCGCAAGTATAGCTGCGTAAAATCATCAGCAGGCCTGGAAGTGTCATATAGCCCCATTGGAAGCCACCTTCGCTAAAGCTCAATACCGAAAAATGTCAGTGACATATACTCCAAAAATTGTCGCACTCGCAAATTGACGGCGCGTTGACTCTGCTTTCGTTGCCCATAATTTGATGGAGCAATCCATTTTTGGCGTGGGTTATTAATTACAGCAAAAAGTTGGCCAAGTGCAGCTACAAGAAGCGACATTGTGGTAAATCATTTGAAACACGCATTGAAGGCATGGCCTTGTTGCAAATAATCTGAATTATAGTGCACCTGCTTTCCAGTAGCAAATTCTATTGCTGCGACGAACGGTCCGGCGCCAAGAGCTAGACCATTACCGCGTCTGTAGTAGCGTGCTTTGTTGATTGCGACCAGCTGTGCCCCTGAAAAACTAGCAAAATCTACCTGATGCCACAAAATAAAAACTTGAAAGTGCGCAGATAAAGTAATGTGTGCGGCTCCTATAAAAGCGTCCGGAGCTGTTCATGTGACGGCGCCGCAGTGGCGGCGGCTAACAACGCCGGCAAAACCCTGCCGAAATTTCAGTGAAAACGCTGCCCGTATTCCTAGCGTAACTCTACTTCCTTTCTTGCCCAAGGCACACGCCATATTTGATTTATCTGATTCGCTTGAGACACTTCATCCATTTAGCTATTGGTAAAATGATTTGACCAATACTAGATGGATGAAGTGAATCAGGTATGTCGCGTGCCTAAACTGCGTTTACCTCTTTTTCAGGCCTCCTCTTGCATCTAACAGTCTCATCTATTCACTTTGTATTTCAGAAATAATTATTTTCATTACTGTCTTCCTAGAAAAGGGGTACCGATGCTTCTGCGAACGGATCTGGACATGTTCCAACGGCTCAATTCTCACTGCCCTGTGCGTCGGCTGCAACCTATGCGGGTGCTATGGTTTCTACATCTCAGTGTAATAAGGAACTATATGTCGCTGATGAACTCCATCCGCGCGGACAGCTGGTACAAATCTGTAATGGTATTACGCATGGCTGCGTGGTCCGTTGCAGATGTGCAAAGGGATCTACTTTCAGCAACATAAGCACGCGCTAGACTTAATCCGCTTAATCCACTCAGCTATTGATCAATTCAGTGAACCCATTTAGCGAAGTGGATATCCGCTTGATCCACTCGATCCACTCCAACCACTTCGCTGTGATCAGTGGCCGTATTCATCAACGAACCCCGAGGGTTAAACTAACCCTGGAGGGTTAGTTTAACCCTGGAAAGCGTTTAACCCGTATTCATGAAACACAGGGTAGGCTTAACCCTGAGGGTTAAATCTAACCTTGAGGGTTAATTTTACCCCGAAAGCGATTAACCCGTATTCATCAACGAACCGTGAGGGTTAAACTAACCCTGGAGGGTTAAACTTACGTGATTCATCAGGGTTAATTTAACCCTAGCTCAGAGCAAGGTTAACTCTACCCTGACACTTCATACAAACGTTTACTCTCATCTAACAGTTTATGGAAAACGATCAATGAGTATTGTGGCATTTAGTATTGGTTGTTGTTATAGTATTTAGTTTCGACTTCGTTTTTCATATACGAAGTACATGAAACACTGACTTTGCGAGAAAAAGAATTCTAGCTTTGGTGACTAATGAATGCGACGAGGGAAAATGGCATTCCACTCTGAAAAGTGCCAAAACAGAAGAACCTCTTTATAATAACACGCATTGACCCCTAAAGGAGTAGCACAAGCCTGGTATAAAACGAACTGCGCAAAAGTAGAACTTACACTGCACAATTGCACACACGACTAAACTCACGCTGTAAGATTCGATGCTGCACGAGTATGCTAGAGATGTATTATAAAAACTAGTGTTAGAACTTATTCTTTGACTATACTACTATCAGTGAAAGAATAGAAGTATAAAATGAATTTAGCCCATACTTAGGCATTCTGTGATGTGAGTTTGCACAGCGCACGCGTGACTGACGCCTTAACCCTCCAGGGTTAGTTTAACCCTCAGGGTTAATGAATACGGCCACAGATTTGTTGATCGATACGGGTAGATCGCGTTCCGTGGTAAACCCTAGCCTATGGTTGATGAATACGGCCAATGAACCCTGAGGGTTAAACTAACCCTGGAGGTTTAGCTTAACCCTCAGGGTTCGTTGATGAATACGGCCACAGTACTGATCTGACCTAAGCGAAGTGGATCAAGCGGGTCACGTTTAGTGTGTGCAATGTAGTTTTCTGCCGAAAAGTGCTGTGTCGACCCACACACTTGCGATACTGAGATTCGACCTGTCAGGGCTACCTAGAATTTGACCAATTCATCAAAAAGAGGAATGAATAGTCGAAACCCTGAGAGTTTGAATAGTCCGTTAGATTACAAAGTTCTCGCTTGTCTTACAAAATCGAAGAAAAAGACTGAGAAAGAACAAAGTCTTGAGTTAAGTAAAGAGCCGTCGAAGAGAAGCGGACCTCCCCTTGAGATAAATAGAGATAGAAAACCCTGTTGAACGGGTCAAATCGAGTCAGAGGGGTCCGTTGTTGTTGTGTGTTTCCGAGTTGTTAAATTGTTCTTGTTCGTTGTTACCTTAACGATAAAATATCTCTACTCTAACGTGTCTTTCGTGAATGAACCGGTTAAGACCGTTACACACTGCAATTTGATCAGAATACTTTTGGGAACACTTCCAGCGACAGCACACACTGTCCCGGTGCAAGCATGAGACACAACCTAGCCCTTTCTAAAGAAAAAAATATAAGTAAAAGCGTACCATCCAGTACTAGCTTGAATGCATCATTCAGCTTTTCAAAGTGGAACTCTGATGGAGCTAAACCGATAACAACGGCATTAGGATTGGATGTATCAATATCTGCAATGCCACCGCTTATTTTGTGTGAAGTACAAAAAACCAACCACTCTTGTACCCTGAAAATCTTCCATGGCTTCTTTGGCCAAAATGAGCATGGGTCGCAATTTGTTCTGTTCAACAAAGCTCCTGGCAGCCAGAAGGGACGTAAAGATCTCATTTTTCTCAATTCGAATACCGCATCCAGTTACTCTTTTGTGCAAAACATTGATAGACTCCTGCAATGGGCAAAATTTCTTCTTTCGTCAATGAAGCTCTTGGCGTTTTATTTCTTTCTCTCTCAAAACAGACGAGGCAGAAACTCGAAAATAACAAAGAAAGAAATTCAGCTTCATATTTCGTATCGCAAAATCCCCTACAGGCCGTCCGCGCTGCGCGCGGAGAGCAAGGCTGTTGCGTACATTGAAGGCAGTTCACGACTGGAAGAAGCGCAGAGAAAAAAGTGGCGAGAATGCACAAAGACGTGTGACGCACATTACACACCTTGCGCACTCTCCGCGCCCTGCGCGGACGGCCTATACCACATGAATAATATGGTCTGTACTGACGTTTGCAATATTATTCGGTAAACTGCAGAAGCCACAAAACTGTGCTACTTAAAGGCAGCGTCCAGGCAAGTCTGGACACATGGGGATCTGACACGGATAGTAACCTTGGGGCCCTAACTAAGCCACTGCCCAACCGGCAGTTCAGGTAGTGCTCTAACGGCTGAGATATTCCCCTCGAATGGACCCCGCGATCGTATTTCGCATGGATTCATGGCGCAAAGCGTGTGCCCTGGCGCGAAACTGCCATGAATCCATGCGAATACGACCACGGGGTCCAGTTTCGAGGGGAATATCTCAGTGTTAGAGCACTACCTGAGCTGCCGCTTGAGCATTGCTTTAGTTAGAGCCACAGAAGTACTTCCCACGTAAAATCCCCATAGGTCCAGATCTGCCTGGACGCTGCCTTTAATTCTTCTACAGTAAACACGAGAATTTTGCTAGCTTTATGAAAGGAATTCTCAAAAAAATAGTGCTAGAAATAATGGGTACAAATATGAGAGAAACAAATATGTTATTGAAAAGCCGTGTTTGCTCGCCTTCGTGGTGTTCGTGACGAATTTGACAGGCCAAATCTTGCGCAATCGCTCAAGCGCTTCAGCAGCACGTGGGATAGCTTCATCCTCGACATGCAGTGTTCCGTTCAGGTCTATGAGTGCTGCGCATCTTTTCATTGCGGAAACACTGTAAAAAATATTTGTAATCATCCTTCCAAGAACTGGTAACCTGCATTCGCTTTCAAATCCGTCAGACCACTGTCACGCCGTTTCAACTCCGCAGACAACTCGTCTTCTCCCTTTGCTGCAGCATGTCGGAAGAGGACTCGTAGTCGTGGAAGTGGAGCTATCGGCTGTATTGGGAACAGAGAGAACCAAAGCTGCGTCACGTTGGGAGCATATTAATATGCTCGCATTTATCATTGTGATGTTTTTATATGACGCAGTGTTCGAGGTATCGAGCGAGACTTTACTTGCAAAATCCACTGAAAAGTTAGAAACGCGCCAGAAATGAACCACTTTCGTAGTGACATCACCTGCGCAAATGATAGAACGGTAACAGTAGAGACTAAGAAGAAAATTTTAAAATGAGCAGTAAAGAATTATTCAATTTACGTTCAGTTGGACACGATCCATTTGTTATTTGCCACTCAATGACAGTTTGAAATGAGTTCTAGATCCGGGGAGGACCTCTTATTTTAAACTCCGCCCAAGGGAAGGAACGAAACGGAATGATGATATCCACTCAGACAGTTGGAGCGTGCGGCGGCGCGTTTATGGTCAATGCGGCAAAGCGCGCGCCTTATTTGTGGGCGTATCCGGCAGTAAGCCAAACGCGTGCCATCCTAGACACTCTGACATTCGGTCCGTGCGGCGCGCGCGTGCTTCCCGTGCGGCGCCTTGTAGTGCGAGGGGGCCGAACGCTCCTGTGCGGGGGCCGAACGCACCGTGCTCAGACAATCGACCGGACCCCTCCGCCGGACAGTCGGAATCTGCCAGAGTCGCGCCGGACCCAGTTGACCAGTGAGAGCGGGGCAAATGGGCGGTCCCTTCTTGTAGGTCGCGGTGACATCACTGGCAGGCAAGTGGGACGCTTCCCCGGCCCTGCTGCAAAGGTACGCCATTTCTGCTCCGGAGGTACGCCAGATTTAGCAGAGCCGCGCCGGAGAAATTTGCCCGGCGCGAGTCCGCCAGATTTGGAAGAGCCGCGCCGCAGAAAATCGGAGGGGTCCGGAGCACAAATGGGAGGTCTCCGGAGCAGAAAATGGGAGGTATCCGGAGCAGAAAATGGGAGGTCTCCGGAGCAGAAAATGGGAGGGCTCCGGAGCAGAAATGGGAGGTCTCCGGAGCAGAAATGGGAGGTCTCCGGAGCACAAAATGGGAGGGCTCCGGAGCAGAAATGGGAGGTCTCCGGCGGACGAGTGGCAGACCCACTGCTGGGGAAACCCCGCGGCCCTGCCATTTCTCCGGCGGAGGAGTCCTATCCGCTGTCTGAGTGCGCGCGGGCCGAACATGAACGCGCGCGGGCCGAACGGTGAATGCGCGCGGGCCGCACGGTATCGAAAGCGCTCCGTCCGCAAGCTACTAGAGAATAAGTCTCTTTCATAGATCTTCTTTTTCTTCTTCCGTCGTGCCGTGAGCATTCTCAACTTCACAGTCCAAAAAAATTCCGAATTCAAAAAATTCGAAAATTTGAATTTAAATTCACAGAATTCAAAATTCAAATTCAGCACCCATTCGGGACGCTGTCGAGGGATAACCTCCGTAGAAGTAAAAAACTTATGTTCCTGCGATTACTCAAATGCCAAGAAATGATACCTAAATCAGCTCCTCAAGTGATGGAGCAGTCTAATCATAGCGTCGTACCTCACGCGGGTATTACCTATCACACTTATAGCGTGTGAGAATTGGAGGCGCGCGGGCGGCACGGGGAGAATATATTGCGCGCGGGCCGTACGCTACGGATACAAGGCGCGCGGGCCGCACGGTACATGACCCCGCCCGTAAATCTAGGCGCACGCTCAGAGCATTGGGTCGTGCGGGCGGGCTGCGAAGTAGCCCTTCCGTGCGTGCGGGCAGCCTAATTATAAGGGTCATTCGAGCCCCCGTGCGAGCGCGCCACATGAGTTTAGGCATGCGAGCGGGCAACCATGTCTTTTCTGTGCCAGCGCAAAGGGACGCTGCACAGACGCGCAATTACGGATTGTTTCAAAAAGAAAAGGCACGGTATTGATGCGCAGATCTTCTTAGGGATCGGCCATACTATTCCTGCTATTCCTACGACTCCTGCGAATCCTGCGATTCCTGTGAGTCCCGCACAGTTTAGACGCCGCTTAAACGAGCGCGTGTTGCGTAAAACAACACGTAACACGCAACACGCTCTCATTTAGCGGCGTATAAACTGTGCGGGACTCACAGGAATCGCAGGAGTCGTAGGAATAGCAGGAATAGTATGGCCGATCCCTTAACTTTCTCCTTCGAGATTGTTTTATAACAAAAGCTTCTATACTTGAATCTTCTCTAGCTTATGTAGGACTTCTCTTATGCTGTATTTGTCAGCGTTTTGGATGCTATGCTGCAATAGTTTTATCGCCCTCCCATGCGTACTTCTTTCTCAGTATTGATGCTAAAGCATTCTGCGATATTATGACCCCGTCTATTTCCATGGTATTTTTGTTTGTTTGAGTTTTTTGTCATCCGTGTCATTCATTGATTGACCCTTGCCATAACTGACGTTTACCATAGAGACTTCGCACCTCATTTCGATGTGTGACATTCTGCCTACGCTCACTTGTGATGATCCAACGCTTTCTCAAGTGGAAACCACAACATCGATTGCCCCTGCGAACACTCAGTTAAATTTTCTACTACCTCAAGGTTCTATTGGACTACACGACAAGGTATGGTTCCATGACTCGCTTGCCTTGATTATGCCCAATTCTAGCGGATACGAAGGATGTGATAGGTGTGATAGCACGACGTTTTATTCGAAGTGGTCCTACGACATTAATCAGAAAACCCTTCATTTCTAGATCCTCAAGGATGTCTTTATTGGATCACACGAGGTATGATGGCAATCTTATTTGTTCTAATGAGATGCGCAATTACTTTCAGCAAAATACAAATGGATAAAGGCTGAAGATCGAAGCAAAGGTGATTCCTTATATCACTATTGGCGTGCTGTGTTTGTTTGACGGTTTTTTTAGAGCATGGAAAAATAACTATTTTGGATGAAGGTTACCTTTAAGAAACGAGCGGAAACGCAGAATTTGAAGCAGCTTTACAGACTATTGTTTTGTGTTATAATTGTATATAATACCAAATGTTATATGAGAGATTGTAACGCGCAGCATAGGAATTGACAGTTCGTCTTGTCTCTTATCTAGCTTTCTGTTCTTGTTCATGATTTAGTTTGTTCTCTTACAAGACAGTTATACATTCTTGCTTGCGCGATTCTGTCGAATTGTAATGTTATGATGTTTTGGTTTACAAAATAAACATTTAGAGTCATTATTGGAGTACATTCAAGCACCACACATAAACAAGCAACAAAAATAAATCCGAATAAGTGTCCGAAATTATCAACCCCCGTGCGTGCGGCAACCCACCGTCATGCGGGCGCGCTGCGATACCGCTACGGCCCGCAACACCGGCGCCCGCTCGCTGCGGCGTGGCAACCCGCCCGCACGGAGCGAATCCCTGAGCGGGTCGCACTGCTGGCCATTAACAAGCGCGCGCCGCACGCACCGAATATCAGAGCATTTGGTGCGTGCGGTGAGCGTATGGGCAACACCGAGACCCACGCGCCATGTTTATGTTCGATCTCGCGGCCGCCGCGCCTTTTTTAGCATGCCACGCGCGTGCCTCTATACTCTACTCGTGCGGCCCGCGCGCCTGCAAGCGCCCGCGCCCGCCTGTAAGCGGAAGGGATACCGAGTAGTGTACGACGCAGTGGTCAGGCTGCCTCATAATTCAAGAGCTTAGGTACCACATCTTAGTGTATGAGTAGTCACAGAAACGAAGGTTTTTTGCTTTCAAGCGTTAACCTTCGGTAGCATTGCGAATGGGTGAATCTGAATTTTTGGGATAAATACGAATTCATATTTGGCGTGTGAATTGTGGAGTTGATTATCAAAACCTGTAGTATACGAAGCAGCGAAGAACTAGAAAATGGCAGCCATTCGCGGACCAGCTGCAGCGGCGCGGCATCCAATGTTCCGCCATCCGCGGACTGGGTGTTGCGCCACCGTGTTGACTGTACGCGCGCTGCACGCTCCAACTGTCTGAGTTTGACACAGACTGTGCAGCCGACTTTATCTGCACCTCCTTCGTCGTAGTCGCTTCATAACACCATTTCTCTATAGAAGCACTAGACAATGAAGACCTCACTAATTTCTACCCATTCTGAGGAAACTTGTCGATGTAGTGTTCTCGACACATACGCATGAATAAGAAAAGTACGAGGACATGTTGAGAAAATATTTTATTATTTCATTTACGGGATTACCTGTATTACAAAATGAAGTGTTGAGAGATCAAAACCGTAACAGCTACAACGTATGAATTACAAGTCATAAAATAGACATAATGAGGGTTAGACGAGCGAAATGCTTTGATACATGAAAATGCTTTGTACTTAATGTAAAGATAGGAATTGTTAATATAAGAAATCATACAAATGTGTTTAAGAGGGAAAAATGAGAAGAATAAAGTTATGCGAGGATGTGAGAGTTCGGATAAGACGATAAATTGGATAGCGGAATAGTGATACAAAACAGAACATAAGACAAACTCCTTGAAACCCACTTTTCCTAATACAAAAAAACCACTGCCAATATAGTGTAGAAACACATCCCAAAACATATATTATTGTTGACTATAGAGGTAATTCACCGTGTTCAGGTAACAAAGGATATGACATTAGCGAATCCTTGTCGGCAAAGTCAATTATGAGTCAAAAGTGACAAGCAGAGACGTAAACTGAGCATAACGTGATCGCAGATGGAAAAAATGAAGCAAATATCATACTAACAGCCATCGAATTGAAGCTTGTGAAGAAAGTATATGACAATTATGCTGCTCGACTCCTCGTCCAGCTAGCGACTTGAGCGTTTTGCGAGCAAGTCAATCCACGGCTTTCCATCCAAGTTTCACCGTCCTTGCTGATGACGTCGGATAAATGAGCTTTGAGCAGTAAAAACGCACGTTTGAATTCTAGGCCGTCCCCGCGTGACCTGTAATCAGCATAAATCGACTCCAGTAAAGATGACGACTAGATGAAAACGAAGACAAGAGGTATAATCATCATACCTCCTGCAGTCAACAAGAACCTTTGTTGGAACTTCATATACCGTGACCATAAAAGACATATCTCGATATGTGATGAGAAGCTGCATTTCAGATATTAGATACGATTAGACTTCAAACCTAGATATTCTCTGACCATATTGTTAGCTTTCTCCGTAGGAAGAAAGCCTAAATCAGCACATGCAGCGATTATACGAGAAATGACTTCCTTGCCATTCACTATGACACAGAATCGTGTCATACGTCGAACCATCAAAGTCATCGGATCCTGAGGTAAGTGAAGTGCATGACAATGGGATATGTTTTTTGTCAACTGAGCTTACAATATCCGTAGACTGCGAAACTTGACTCGTGCTCAGCAGAAGTGCTTCCGCGGGTTGTGAGAAAGAAATGTATCCGTTCGCACAAGTAGGCGTCCATTTCAAGGGCGAAGGTTGCGACGCCGCAGGGCTAAAATGGCATTGCAGATAAAAAGTGGATGAGCGCGACATTCTACACATCATCAATCGGCTTGCTACGCTCAAATGAGAGGAAAAGGAAAAAGGGAGAAGGGTGAAGACATTCAAAATCGAAGATAAAACTCACCAATCAATTCTGTCAGTTGACAATCGTTGTCGTTTCAGAGCTGGAACGTTTACGTTTTCTTTTGCACTCACTGCAACAGCGATATTCCAAAGAAAAGTACAGGAAGGGTGAACATTCAAAAGGTAAGTTTTACAAACATAAACAAAACAAACACTGGAATGGATATGGAGAAGTCGGATCATTACCAAAATCTGCATTAGTCCATGGATGTTCCATAATCCGTTTGAGTGTGGCTCGCGTGTTCTCATCATATGTCAGCATCGCTTTTATTAGAGCTAAATTCGAAGCTCACTATTTTCTACACTGCATGATTCAACAAGTAAACATACACAAAGCGGTATTGTCAATTTTCTTCCATGGGTTAGTCTCGGTAAGAACTACAGTGCCGTTGAGCCAGTCTTTGTAGGCGGAACAATCACTAAATCCAAATTTTTGTGAAGTAGAAAATCAGAAACTAAAAGACGCGAGCTTACGTGGAAGCCGAATCCCAAGGAAGTTCACCTGCTAGCATAGCTACGAGTACAATCCCCGATGACCATATGTCGACCGGCTCAGCTCTTAATAAACAAAACACAGATCAGTAGATCAGTAACAACCATAACTCACTTGTAAACACCCTTTATGACTTGCGGGGATGCATATGGGAGAGTACCACAAGTAGCATTGAGCATACGTTCCCGATCTCCGTGACGAAAAACTGTTGCCATTCCGAAGTCAGAGATTTTCAGGATATCTACAGAAACAGAACTTTGACAATGATGGACCCTGAAAAACAAGAATCAACACACCTTGACCAGTAAGCAAGAGATTTTCTGGCTTAATATCTCTGTGGACCACGCCCATGCTATGTATGTGACTCAGCCCATTGAGCAATTGCCGAAAGTACCATTGTGCCTTGACGGGTGGCATTCCAACGTCAGGTTCTATAACAAAGCTTATCAGAAACGCATATTACCTAGCGTAAACTGACCGATCTGATCAAAAAGTTCGCCTCCATCTGCATATTCTAGGTAAATCTGAAGCTCATTCAGGCCGCCTTCGGTTTCAACACGCATTCCTATATACCTGATCATGTTATCACATTCCTTCGTTGATAGAAGCCGTTGCAAATAGGCCTAAAGCATGATTAGAATGGGAGAATGGGAGATGAAAGAACTATTCTTACCTCTTTTTTGAACTGATTGAGTGCCTCGCTATTATTCTGGAACTTTCTCAAGTCTATACACTTCAAAGCTACGCAACACATGGGATTTCGGGGATCCACTACAAGTTTCACCTCTCCGAAGGCACCTAAACATGAAAGGAAGTATAAACAGGTCAATCAACCATTTGTATCATAGCGATAAACAACAGACTTTAATTGAGATGCGAAAATTGTTGGAGTTGAGAAACTGTCTCAAGCAAAACAAAAAATCGAAAAACATAAGAAGAACTACCTTCGCCAAGAATTTTCACCACTTGTGCTTTCCTAGTGCTACCTTGTTCGCCAGGAGGTTTGGGAGGGTTTGCGTTGGGAACGCCTGCAGCACCCACGCAGACACCCGGGTCTGCCAGCATCCTGAAAATTGGGTAAATGAACAATAAGCTCGAAAAAGCCGTTGAAAATATAAGGGAAACATTTATAGAGTGTACGACGAGATTAAATGTAAAAAGCTGATTTATCTTCGATAAAAATTCGAAAACGTTGAAAAGCAATAACGAATGTTGTTGTTTTGAAGGGTGGGAAGATCGATACACGCGCAAATGAAGACGGCAGGCGTACGAGTTGTGATGTTGAAGGCAACATAGGACAGCTGAACTATCAACTCAGTGACCACTGAAAGAGCAACGCGGCCAGACAAAACAGGTGATAAGAAAGTGATATGGAGATGTTAATGGCAAAGAAAATGAAACTGGGGATTTATAGAGTGCTTGGAGATAAACTCGTATAAATATCACGCGTTATTATATTTTCAGGATAAACACCGGCTGAGCCGAGCTTTGAGCTGCGACTATGCAAAAAGAAATCGATTAGTGCACTAGAGTGTTGCTTGCACGCAGACGTTATAACGTCTTATAAGATAGCAAAACATCCAAAGACAGAAACATGATCGCGGCTGAAGAACTATAAATCTGTTCGGTTGTAAAACTTCGCCTACTTTGACAAGTTGGGACTAAGCAGGATTTTAGAATCTGATTGAGTGAGTACTTGAGAAGAACTCAAAAACTGGTAAACAACCACTGAGGCATTGTTCACAACGCGCCGGTACCCGTCCGTCCGCACTCGAACGATTGTGCGCTGTGCTGGAACTGTTCCGGAACTTACGGATCATATGAACCCAGTCTAACTCTTCATGTACGACTCATGGTACTGCACCAGTGAGTCAAAAGGTACAACCAAAGATTATATTACGGCTTCATTTGCATTCTAGCATATAAAACTTGTTTTGCAGTCACATCAGCATTTTTCGCGAGAAGGGGCCGGGAAGGAGAAGAATGGAAATGAAGACAACGAAACGAGCATGATACGATAGCCTAAGTATACAAAAGTACATAGTAAGATAGTAAGATACACTGCCACCTACGATCTCACCGTGTAAAGAAGACTCCAGAATACGTATAACTTGCTCCATGGGTGTGCACGCTTTAACGTCCGTTACCAAATGACAGATGGACGTGGCGATCAGTATTTGCGTTTCAAAAATGTCACTGAATCTTTGGGGTGAGTCCTTCTATCTCGATGCTTACGCAGGATGTTTTATGACCAAGTTGCAGCCGAAATCTGTTTTCCCATAAAACATGCTTTGCAGGAAACCAACAAAAAATAACAGACCGAATTTCAATGCAGCAGCTGCAGCTGTGCTTAATTTGGAACATTGGTCTATGTAGGTTAGCAGATTATGTAGGTTATTTTGCACCTGGCGAGCAGCCGATAGGATTGCAGATAGACCAACAATCTACATATTCTTCGGGCGCAGTCGCAGCTTTGTCTTTGCGAGAACAATTGTTGTCGCTATGTGCAATAGTTCGACACAATCACAGTCCACAGATGAAAGCAAATGAGAAAACAACGAGATCAAAGAACTTTGCGAAAACACAAACAAATTTAAAATTTGATTAAGCGAACATTCGCGCGTTTCCACGTTCCCACAATTTGTACACAGGCTACATTGAATTTAGCGCACACTTGCGTCCTACATAACTGACCGTAAATCGTTAACATTCACTTCATTCACAGCTGATTTTATAAGACGTTGGTAAATTTTACATCTAGAGAACCTATGCTTCTTATTCCAGACATCTGAGTAGTGATCAGTTGGCAATTGCATCATCTTGCAAGCTGAATCCTACTGCCAAGTAAGTTGAGTTGGAAATTCCGGATACATAGCAACCACAAAAACATTGATTTAGTATTATCAGCGAATCCGCTTTCAGGTCTGTCCTAGCAGAATGAGAGTAATCTAATCCTAATCAGGACAAGGCCAGAAGCAGGTATGTTCTCTAACTTTCTTGTGCTTTCTTTTCGACTTTTTAATTCTATGCAGTTTTTGCTTTCTTTTGAGTAGTGTCACCCCTATGTCCTGTTATTACAATGACCATAGAATCGCGCACATTTTTGAAGTTTCAAGAGTGATGATGTCAGTTTCTCAGCAGTTGCTTGGTTGCTCCATTTACAAACAACTTTCATTTATGCAAATCTCCGGGATTTACTAGCTTAAAAGCATAAGGCAAATAGTGTGTCATTGAGTCGTAATCTAATATAATATTGCAAACCAAGCGCGTTCATTCACGACTTTCAAGATTAGGACGTGTTGGTTCTTAAGGACCTCTCCTTTTTCTTTCAGTTTGATTGGATATATATTAGATAGATAGCGGTGCATATCTGCACAGTTTGTTCCGCTAAAAAGGTCTTCAAGCGAACTACTAATAAGATGTCGTCCGCGAGGTTTGCGCCCTCATATCAAAGTACCCTCGATTATTGCGAACAAAAGTTATGAAGTATCTGCGCTCTATTCATCATTGCTTTCTGCAGTCCAATCATTTCATTTGAGTATATGTGTATCGCACATATAATCTTTCATTGGCGTCTCCATCCTGATTTGCAGAAACGCAGAAGACTGACCGGTTGTTATATATCGCCATCACTTTGTGGAGAGTGGTACCTAAAAAGTGAAGAAAGCAAAGAGAAATTACCGAAAACACGTGAAGGGGTGTCCGCGTGTAGAATCCAGGAACAGGGCGTTAAAGATGGGTATTCTGTGCAATGACACACATGTACATTCGAAATGACTTGACTGTAGTCAGCTCCTTCCAAGTTATCGACGTATACCATCTATTTTTTTCAGGACATGACCGATCTTTGCGAGCAGCCTCTGGGGCTACTCTCTGAAGTCACTCGGCGAGAGTTGGTGCACTTGCTCGAATCTTTGCCTGGCAACAAAGACTTGATAGTTGATGCTTCTCTGCTTCGTCCACTTGATCGCATAGCTTCTATGAGCCTCCTTCAGAAACATGAATGTCAACGTGTAATTCCATTACGTCTGGATTCATCCACAGTTATTCCTTGGAATCAGAACACTCCAAGACGTGTGTACTTGTTGCGTAGTTCACTAGATATGGCACGTTTGCTCGCTCAGCATGTCCGTTCTGCACCAGAAAACCGACAAATCGCTGTTGTTTGGGTGGATCGTCGACTTGTCATTTGTGAGCGAGAGTTAGAGCGACAAGGAGTTTATGGATTGGTGGAGCCGTTTGAACTTAGCATTTCTTTCATCCCTCTTGAGAGCGACCTTTTTTCTATGGAAATGCCTATCACTACTTCCATGAAGGACCTGCTTGCACCAGCAAACGCTCTTTTCCAGCTGCAGTCGTTATATGGGCTGATTCCCACGGTCTATGGCTTGGGCGAACAGACGGAAAAGCTGTGGAAGTTGATGCATCACGTCTACGATGAGAAGGGTGAGCCGCGATCTTCTCCTGACCAACCGATCAGCCACTTGTTCATGTTTGATAGATCTTTGGACCAGGCTACAGTGCTGATGACTGGTCTTACTTATGAAGCCATGTTGCATGAAGTGTTTACTATTGGATGTGGAAAGATTTCATTTGGCCCGGAGGTGGAAGGTAGGATGAGACCTGAGGTGGAGCAAGGCGATGTAGGGAGAAAATCGAAAGTGTATGTACTGGACAACAACGATGGGGTGTTTGCTTCCATAAGAAACAAACACATGACCGGTGTGTTTCCCTTTCTCAGTTCAAAAGCCAAGGAGATACAATCAGATTTCAATAAGGGAGCGTCGATTGATCAAGTGCAAGATATGAAGCAGTTTGTAGCCCATGAGTTAAAGGCGCTGAAACTTCAACATCGTCAGCTAGAGATGCACATTTGCGCCTGCGAGGTTTTGCTGGAGAAGAACGGTGCTGCTGGCGCTGGAGAGCGTCTTCGATTCGAGCACGAGCTGGTTGCTGGTACGGCCAACATAGCTGATGTCATTTCATACATGGAGGACTGTATGCTTCGCGAACTTCCATCATGGCAGGTACTGTCCTTAGCCTGTTTGGCCAGCCTATCTCAAAATGGACTACCTCCGAAGCACTACCAGTCATTCCGGGAGCATTTCTTCAGAACCTATGGTTACGAGTATCTCCCAATCTTGCATAGTCTAGCCTCCAAACGTCTGCTGACAGAGAAGCCTCGTCCAATAGTAGGTGGCGCTGTCCCACCTGCACCATCTTCTCCATCACCTAATGACTCACATCCTACTCTACCATACCTTATCAAACGGCTAGGTCTTGTTCCAACGTCTGAAGATGCTCAAGTGGATTTGAAGAACCCATCCTCTATGAGCTATGTATTTTCCGGGGCCTTTACTCCACCTTTCTGTCAAGTTGTTGCAAACGCGATGGTGCACGGCTGGAACACCAATGAACTGAAGAAAACCTTTGGGCGAGTGCTAGTGGAGGAGAATAGCTACATTCCTGCCGATCGCCGCCCGGATAACAGGATGCGAAAGGCGATTTTGGTTTTTTTCCTAGGTGGAGTCACTTATGCAGAGGTGGCAGCTTTAAGACTTCTTGCTGTTCAAAATAATTTCAGGATTCTAATTGCATCTACGAATGTCATACATAGGGACTCTTATATGAAGTATGTTAGTGAACTGGATTATCGTACATTTTAGTTGGACAATTCTTTGACTCTTCTCTGCATTCTCACTCGTGCATCCCGTACCGTGGTTACGTAACTGTGTATTTCGTATAATAGTAATAATGATACGGGTCACGGGCCCTTTTTGATTGTTATTAGTCGTGTCTGTTGTTCATAAAATATGCACTAAAATCTTTGAGCTTATGTAATCGTGATCACTATTGCATAGTAACATCGTATTTGTAACACCTTCCTAGCCCAAGATCGTTTTTCTTCAAGTCAGCTTCCTTTTATTGGGCATTACCACCTTTCATATCTGCTGAAAGGAGCGGAAGGCAGCGATCTGACAAGGGAATGGTCAGAAATCGAAGTGGCCAAAACCAAACAATTTGCTACTATTGGATGCAGAATGAAACGCCAACTTTAGGCGCTATTCCACATCAGTTGACCCAGAAAGTGAAAATTCTGAAATTCGCTAAAGCTTCGTCTAAGGGGTTATTTGATAAGCTGAACACGAATATGGTGTTTATTTCGCGCGGTAGCGCCATCCGGTGAAGATACGGTGGGATTACTAGTGGGTTCAAAATCACAAATTCGCCCGAAACTTCGTTTACAGGGGTTATTTATCATGCTGCACACGAATATGATGTTGTTTCGTGCGCCAGCGCCATCCGGTGGAGTCACGGTAGACTTTCGGGCAAATTCGTGTTCAGGTGTTTAGCCCCTACCGTAATCCTACCGTAACTCTACCGATGGCGCTACCGAACGAAATAAACATCATATTCGTGATCAGCATGCTAAATAACCCCCCCCCCCCCCTAAACGAAGTTTCGGGCAAATCCGTAACTTTGACCCCCTACCGTAATCCCGCCTTAACTCCACCGGATGGTGCGGCAGCGCGAAATTAACATCATATTCGTGTTCAGCATACCAAATAACCTCCTTAGACGAAGTTTTAGCGAAATACATGATTTCCATGTTTTGGTCAACTAATGTGGGCCCTCCTTATCTGCTGAACAAGGCAGGCAACCTTTGATTTCGTTTGCTATTGAGGGATTTTGTGAACAAAGTTAAGCCCCATTTTAATGCAAGGAAATTGTGTGCGTAAGTGCTTTGACTACATAGATGCATGTTTGGCTCAATGCTGAGTCAAAACATGCAGCTAGGTTACTTTATATTGTCCATTTCTAGAAATAGGCTAAAGAAGCAGTAATGTGCCTGATTTAGCAACTGGTGTAAGATTCTCTTGCTTTAAAACTGTTTATGAACTCTACACAGTGTTCAGCGGATACAGAAGATAGGTCCGGAATTAGTGTTCTGTGTGTATTTACTGCACCTTGATCAAATCAGCTCCTTCGACTTCTGACCATTCGCTCGTCAGACACGTACCTAAATCTACACATGGCTGCGAGGAGCGCTCCCCATGACCTACTGCCAATTTCGCCGGCGGCATGGAATAGCGCTAGACACATTAAGTAAAGGGTACTGCGTGACCAAGGCGCAGAAGTGATTTTAGTTGAGCGGGTGCGAACGCGGTGCGCACGTATCCTCACCGTTGTAAATCCCACGCCTCCTGCGCTCTGCGGCTAATAAAGCCGTGTTCGCGCCCGACGATATTACACCTTCGTCATGCAGCAGCCTACATGCTCAGACAATCGCCGGGGGCAGGCGGGCACCGGAAAAATAGATTGCTGATTTCTCGCACCGCGCTCGCGGATTTTTTGGAAAGCAATCAGGACTTTTCGGAAGATCGCTTGCTGATTTCTCGATTCCTCAGAGATTCAGCAATATATCTGCAAAAGATAAGAGCAAAAAAAAATTCAACAGGCGGTCCCTCAAAAATCCGCTGACTCAGCAAGCGGTCTTCCGAAAAGTCCTGATTGCTTTGCAAAAAATCCGCGAGCGGGGTGCGAGAAATCAGCAATCTATTTTTCCGGTACCCGCCTGCCCCCAGCGATTGTCTGAGTGTGTGTTATGCTTTGCGGAAGAAAGCATTTCTGTCCATTTGGCACACAGAGCTCGTTTGAAAGAAAGGAACTTCCGAATTCATCGTTAGGACAATGAGCGACTTTTGTACAGGCCTCTCCTCATGATAAAAGTTTTTAGCAAATAAACAGTTCTTGATATGTCATCACAATTCGATTTGTAAAAGTCACAATCCTTTACATCTCACATAACAACTGAGATCGCTCCTTAGAACTTGGAAAATGAAAGACCGAGCATTGATTTCATTGCGCTTTTTTGTTCTCCCTATCATTCAGTTGTTCGTGTGTGATACTTATTATTAGGCTTTGGCCATGTTACCAGTGTTGCTTGTGTTACGATGTTACTAGTGTTACTCGTGTTACTCGTGTTACTCGTGTTACCCGTATTATCAGTGTCACCAGTGTTATAGTCGTCCTCACCCCACTAGTCGGTCGGTGGTAGAATTTGAATTCGAAGTGGAGCAGGCCGGCCGCGGCAGAGCGCGGCAGGTCGCCCCTCAGCCAACCATTTGCACATAGCTTTTCTCTTATTTTCTTCGTGTTTCATTGCTATCTCTCGTATTGCGGCAATGTTCTTAGTCAGGTTTCAAATCTGGTATCGCTAACTATTGTTTTGTGCAGTTGTGCTCGTTTGTTTTACATTTTTTCCAAGTAACCCAAAAGAAGGGTGCGATTGGAGATTTTTGGGTGAGAAATCTCTTTCCCGGTAAGTGACATATACACAAATGTGATTTGATGAACTGTATCACAGTGTTTCGTTAGAATGTTTACTCTAAACTATTTTACGGCTGAAATTCTCTCAAAAAGTGTTTGTTCCAAAGAGTTATTGGTACGAAATCTGAAAATCTGATTAGAAACATTGCCGCGATATGAGAAATACCAAAGAAACACGAAGTTAATAAGAAAAAAGCTCGTGCAAGCGGTTGGCTGAGGGCGGTCTGCCGCGCTCTGCCGCGGCCGGCCTGCTCCATTTCGAATTCAAATTCGACCACCGACCGTAGTGGGGTGAGGACGACTATACCCGTCTTACTCGTGTTATCTTTCTAGTGTTACTCACCAGTCAGTGAAACTGCGTTCTAAAATGAGACTGTACTATGATCAGAGCCCGGCACGAGGTGGGCAAATGACAGGCTGGAAATCGTTTTGAATGAGAAATTGGATTGGATTAGATTAGAAGACAAGATTAACAAGATTAGCAACGACGCCGGTTCTTTGGGGGAAGAAAGCGCGCTCTAATCGAACATCCTACGCAAGTGGCGGAATCAAGTGGGAGTTTGTGTAATTCGATAGTGGCAAAGGCGAAGTCGTTTTGATGACGTCCATTTGCCACCTTCATGTTGGGCGCTGCTTGTGATCATTTTACTACTCAACAGCATAAAAGCGGTAACACACTAGTAACACCAGTAACACGAGTAACACCAGTAACACGAGTGACACTAGTAACACTGGTAACACCGGTAACACGGATAAAGTATGGGCAAAGCCTTAGCACCATGGACTTATGCAAGTATGGTTTTGGTTATTTGCTTACGAGGAAATGGTCAGGACTTGACCCAGCCATATCAAACAAGCTGTATACCTTCGGGCTCGTCTTTAAATCAGGGTCAAGCGTGTGATGAGACTGTCGCAACGGGGGGTCGTAAAGTGAGCAACTAAGGTGGGGAGGGGGTCGTAAGAGAAAGTAGTTTGACTGAAAACCGTAAGCTTAAAAGGAAATCAAAGGCAGATAACTAGTACATGTTTTTCAAAATAAATTTAGAAAAAAATTAGAAGTAAGAATATTAAGGATAAAATTTTTCTACAAATTCTGAGAAAAAAACGTTCCCAAGAGCTCAAAACAATTTTGAAGGATGTAAGAATTGATAAAAAATCGAAATGTATTAATTGGCTTAGGAATCTTGCTTCCGAAGCCTCACTGAAGTCTCACACACTCGACAAGAGCGCACATCTAGATCAACGATGACAATCAATAATTCGTAAATCTTTTTGTAATGCCATTTATACGGCCCTTACAATTTATATGTCTTTGGATAAGCGCTGCTATTACTGTGCAAAATCTGGTGTTATTTTGTAAACTGTGGATTTTCTTATGATTTTATGTATGGTAGCAAAAAATCAGGAAAGGGGGGGTCGTATCTGGGTCGCATATAAATTTCTTCGGAGCTATCGAAGCTTGTTGGCTGCAATTTTGCTGTATTATGAGACCATCCTCCTACTTTCCCTCATAAAAATTGCAGGCTGTTTTCATAACTTCTCTGGTAAGTTACAATATTTTGAGCTAGAAAATCCCAGTTTTTGCTTTTTAGGATCGCATCTAAATTTGCGAGAGTCGCATCTAAATTTTTTCGAGCTTACTGCTTCCTAAGGGATGAAACTTTTTCTATGGATAATCTGGGCACTATGCTACAAATGTGCTTTGCAGCCTCTCTGTCTTTTCCTGCCTTTAGTTACGAAGTTTCAAAGTACCGTGCTCATGCACGTTTTTGACATCGTTCTGGACGGCGGTAAAGCGGTTTTTTTTTGCGGAAAAAACTGTGGAAGAGGTAGGAGGTAAGCTTCTTAGTCGAAAACATCTTTAGTTCAAGAATTTCATTTTTTTTCTCCGTGCAAAAATTTGTGTCGAATACGGGAATCGAATTTGCTGGTCTGAAGTATGCCTAAAAATTCAAAAAAAACTTGCAGAATCTCAAACATTATTGAAGGTGTGTATGTGTACAGATGCTGGGCGCACCCATTGGCCTAGAAATTCTGCTTCCGAAACCTCACTGAAGTTCTCACGCAGGTGTTTTTTGAGATTGACATTGGTTTATGCAGGTTACCGCGAGGAATGTGGGCAGGGGAGATTAGGGAAATAGATGGGGGAGGATGGGGGAAGAGGGGGAGGGGGGTCGTACGGATGGGTACCTTCAAGGGGGGGGGGGGTCGTGAATGAGGGTCCCGGATCGCATCAACACGCTTGACCCTGCTTTAAACGCTGATTTCTAAAATGTTTTATCTGCCAAGCGACTATTTGGAGTTATGATTCAATTATGGGAAGCTTTTCGAATTTCGACCAATATACAGGGAGTCCCAAATAATGTGAACAGTGTTTGATCGTTAATAACTTCGTTGCTTTCACGTGTTTCGCCGGGCTTGAGGCATCATTTTGTAGAGCGAGTTCAACATAGAGTTTACAGTATGAAGGAAAAATCCGATCTCCCTTCGTTATTTTAGAATTAC